ACTTCTTCACCATCTAGATTCAATAACAATCCATGTCAATACATTTATGTCATCTATTTCTTTTCCTTCCTTCTTTTTTTGTCTTGAAGTATCTCAAGTTCTAGAGAGTATGTCATTTTACTTCAACATATTTCAGAGTATCTCTCCAAAAATTATGGACTTTTTTTTACATACACAATTTTTTACATACACAATTCCATTATGAAATGGCAATGTTTCATTGGTATTGTCTAATAACAGTCTATAGTAAAATTATTCATGATTTCATTTAAGTCTTTTGATAGTTCCGATATTGGAATGTTGAGTCAGAAGCTTCTTCCACACCTTCCCTCTTCTTTTTGTCCTGTTATTAACTTGCTGCAGTCTATATGAACCATCATATAGGGTGTACTAGATGTATTCATTTCCTTCTACTTATTCTTATTTGACTTGTTCTTCTGACCTTATTGGTTTCCATAATTCAGCAAATGGAAAGTCAATGAGAAGACTATTATTATTTTTTAATTTGTTACCCTTTGTGTGGTGTAGCAGAGGGCTTTAGGTGAGGCAACACCACCTCTGAGTCCCACTTGCCCCATACTTACTACTATGCTTGAGCAGTAATCCCCATTGCAAAGTTCCTTGTCAACCATTCATCTAGTAATTTCATGCATTGATGGTTGTTTCCTGAATCTTTTTACTGTCCCAGTCCTGGGACAGTAACACCACTTCTGGTGTTTTAAGTGGTTAACTAGAGATAAAAGAGTTTCATATAATTTTCTGTCCAGGCTGGCTGTCAACATCCATCCTCAGATCTCAGCCTCCTGAGTAAATTGGGTTGCAGGTGTGAGCCACCAGCAATCAGCACAACTCCTAAATCTTTTTGTTGGTTGGTTGGTTGGTTGGTTGGTTGTGTGGCTTGAACTCAGGGCCTGGGCACTGTCCCTGACCTCTTTCTTTTGCTCAAGGCTAGTCCTCTACCACTTTAAGCCATACTGTCACTGCCGTTTTCTGGTGGTTAATCAGAGATAAGAATCTCTCAGACTTTCCTGCCCAGGCTGTCTTTGAACTGTGATCCTTAGATCTCAGCCCCTTGAGTAGCTAGGATTATAAGCATGAGCCACCAGCACCCCACTACAATATTTTATTTGTAGTAAAATGAAAGCTTATAAACCTAACATTTTTCCAGTGTAGCAACTTTAGAATCAAGTATTAATTTATGTAATAAATAAAGCCAAAATGCTTGTTTTATTTTTATCTTAAGCTCACTTTTACATCATTCCTATAAAAGGAGAGGTGGGCTGGAATGTGGCTCAAGTGGTAGAGTGCTAACCTTGAGCAAAAGAAGCTCAGGAACAGTGCCTAAGCCCTGAGTTCAAGCCCCAGGACTAACCAAAAAAAAAAAGGAGAGGCACACTATTTATTATAAACATATCTAAAATTGGGCTAAGAGCTATATATCAATGCTTTGTTTTTCTAGAGGCACCATTCATAGTCAAAACTCCCTCAAAACTTTGAAGTAAAAAGTAGACATGAAACCTCAAATGTTCTCATCTCATTTTTAACTAAGAATATCAATATCCTCAGAATTGTTATAGTAAGGGCTTTGAAAAAACTTTTAGAAATGTGATGGCTTGATAGGAGCTGTCATGTTGAAATTTACCTTGGGATAAGTAAAGGGCTGTGATTTCAGATGGCAGCAGACTGCTGTGCAAGAGTGCATGACACTCAACTAAATGAATGCAAAGTGGAATGTGGCAATAATTCTCAGTGTGAGATCTGAGGACTACTAGGGGTGGATGGAGATCTTTTGAGGGACTTTGCAAGGCTCTACTTCTTTTAAGCTGTATGTATAAGGGCCAATTTTCCTCACAATACTTTAGCTATGCCAATAAAATAAGACTGAATACAAAAGCAGAATGAGAATCCACCTGCCTCCATTAATCCGGGTAATAAAGATATGAAAAAAAATGGGGCTGGGAAGGTGGCTCAGTAGTAGAGCACTTGCCTTGCATGCATGAGGCCCTGGGTTCGATTCCTCAGCACCACATAAGCAAAAAGAAAAAAGCTGGAAGTGGTGCTGTGGCTCAAGTGGTAGAGCGCTAGCCTTGAGCTGAAGAGCTGAGGGACAGTGCCCAGGCCCAGAGTTTAGGCCCACAACCAGACCAAAAAAAAAAAAAAAAAAAAAGACTTTCCTCACTGCTTTTGTTTTTGAAAAGTTATGAAGGGGCTGGGAAGGTGGCTCAGTGGTAGAGGTCTTGCCTTCCATGCATGAGGCCCTGTGTTTGATTCCTCAGGACCACATAAGCAGAAAAAAATGGAAGTGGCACTGTGACTCAAGTGGTAAAGTGCTAGCCTTGAGCTGAAGAGCTGAGAAACAGTGCCCAGGCTGAGTTCAGGCCCACGACCAACCAAAAAAAAGAATAATGACATAAAATTTATAATGACACATAATGGGTTATTACTTTAAAGGTGAATTAATGAACATATTTAAAGATTTTTTGTTTAAAATTTTAATTTTGCACAGTAAACATCAACATATGCAGCCCACACATGTGCATCCCAATATGGTCAGCCTCCTCTCAACCCCCAATTCGGGAATTTAAACTCAAGGCTTTCTGTTGCTGGCTGAGATGACAGGCACACACAACCACAACAGACTGGTGTCTTGTACATTTTTTGCTCAAGCTGGACTTGAAACGCATTCCTCCTGTATGAGCCATTAGCATCCAGCTCAGTTTGTTTTTAAAGATAGGCCTATGTATGTGGCCTATGCTGGCCTGGTGTTGTGATTATAGATGTTCACCAATGTGCCTAGCTATGAAGCCCTTATACGTTCTCTTTTTTAAGATTGTAAAGAGATCTTGAGAGTAAAAAGTTTGTGAACTGCTCTTCTATCATATCTTACACTGTTTGCTTACTAATTCTAAGTATACATAGATGAGACTATATATCATATAAATTTATTAAGTTTGTAATCCTAATGATTTCAAGGTAATGTCCCTTAAATGTCTTCTTGGATATTATATGTGATCTCTAATCATAATTGAATTTTTTACCCTAGTTAATGATTCTTTTCCCTGATGCTCTGATTGCATTGATGGCAAATAGAGGTCTGCTGTAATACATAAGAAACACATCTCCTCGTACTCCAACTGAAAATGTAAAATCTTACATTGAGTGTAGAATTTAATTAATTAACTTGAAAAAACTGGGATGGTTAGAATCTTTATCTCAGTTTTGTTTTGTTTCATTTTGTTTTTTTCTTTGTTTAATTGTGCCAGTCCTGGGGCTTGGACTCAGGCTTGGGTGCTGTCTGAGCATTTGTGTTCAAGGTTAAAGCTCTACCACTTGAGCTACAAAACTACTACCAGCTTATTTGGTAGTTTATTGGAGATAGTCTGACAAATTTTCTTGCCCAGGCTAGCTTTGAACTGAGATCCTCAAATCTCAGTCAAGGATTATATTGCCTGGTGCTATCTCAGCTTTTTCTTATTCATTTTTTAAAGGCAGTTTTAGGTTTAGAACAAAAACGGAGCAGAAAGGACAGAAAACCTGTATATCCTATTCCTATAGTTTTCCTAATCAACACCCTGCTTCTTGTACTTCTTATAATTGATGAGCCTACCCATTCACACCATTTTGATCTCAAGTGGAATTTACATTAAGGTCAGCTCTTCATGTACATAGGGTTTGGACAATTGTGTAATACCATTTATCATCACCAGAGTATTATATAGAATGGTTTCTAAACCCTCTGCTTTCTCAGCCTTCATAGTTTTACCATTTCTTGAGTGTCTTATTACTAGAATTATAGAATGTAATGTTTTTGGATTATTTTAGCTTTACCTTAAGTACATTTGATAAATCTTAGCCAAAAAGCCAGGTCAGCATAGCAACTATTTCAGTTTATTTACTTTTCACTATAATAAAAGCCACATATACCAGTCTTTGTTGTTTATTCTAAAACATTCCATCAGTTACTGTTTATCATTGGTTTAATTTGAGAGTCTTACTACCAAGGGGGCCTAATCCAATTTACTAAAAGGTCCAGACAGCCCTTAGAAGGTGGTCCTGTTAGCTAAATGATCTTGGAATTAACACTGGCAGAAAAAAATATAATTTTACAGTATCATTGCAGTGATAAATAAGAAAAACCCCTCATATATCTCCTATAAAGTAATGAAATTTTGTTTTCTGCTGAAGACTTTTGGAGTTGTAGTTATCAGGTAAATTCTCTAGATAATCACTAGGTAGATTGTCAAACAGAATTAATTTTTAATTCTGAGTATGAGAATATAGTATTTATATTAGTGCTATGTGATTTAAAAATTGGCAGAGTAATTAATATAATTTATGAATTCATGAATTTATGAATTCATATAAGTTATGAATTTTGATATTTTTCAGAAGAATAGACAGAAATTATAAATGTCCAATTGTAGGGATGGCAAAAAAAGAGAAAGGATTATTTTATGTCTGTTCAGAAGTAGGTTACAGAAAGACAAACTAGTTAAGATTTTGTGCAATTTGAGGGAAAAAGCTTAAGATTCTAGTACAGTAAACCACCAGGTCTATATTATTCCTTCTGATTTTTCTGAAGGCAGCAAAACGGAATAATACTCTGTGTGCCAGTGAACAGAGTTCCTGAAGCCCTTTGTCACTGCTAAGTGTTGAGGTAAGCAACCCTGGCTCTGTGTGTGTGTGTGTGTGTGTGTGTGTGTGTGTGTGTGGTTCTCCCTTTCCTTCCCTGAATACACAATGTCTTAGATTTTAGCTTTTTGTGGATCTCTTAGACGTATCTTACTGAGCTCAGAGCTGCATATATATATAATCTGTGCTTGTTGCTTCTGATTCCTTGATGATCCATGCCAGGTTTTTGACCCAACCCCGGGTGGCGCTCGGGAGGCGGGTTTCCGCCTGGTGGGCGGAGCCTCGCGCGGCCGGGCGCGCGCGTGGGGGAGCGGGGCGGGGCTTGCCGCGGGCAGTGGGCGGGGCCCGCGGGCAGTGGGCGGGGCCTGCAGGCGAAGACTTCCCCTGGGCTACGCGGCGCTGCGGGTGCGGAGCCGGGGCGGGCGCCGGGAGGCGGGTGGGGGCTGCGGGGCTGGGGGTGCGAACGGCCGGCGCTGACGCTGCCGGTCTTTGGTGATCCTGGGGACCTGGGGCTGGGGTTCTGTCCCTAAGGACGAGTGCCCCGCGGGGTGGACGTTGCTGGGCAAAGGGCGGGCGGGCGGGCGCTGAGGCGACTGCGAGCATGTGTCGGTGCGCGTGTTTATCTGCGGCCCGCGCGGCCGCGGTCTCCTTCCCGGCCCGCACCTCCTCCCCCTCCTCCCCTCCTCCCCCTCCTCCCCTCCTCCCCCTCCCCTCACCGTCCTGGCTGACAGGAAACCCGCGCCTCCACACTCGCGCCTCCCGGCCCCGGGGTCCCCACCCCGGCGAGACCCCGTCGGGTGTCCACCGAGGGGCTCCGCGGTCCCGGCCCTGGCCGGGCGGGGGCGCTGTGGGGCGCGGCTGCCGGCCGCGCGGGGCCGGGGCGGGAGCGCCGCCGCCTTCCCAGCAGGATTTAAAGGACGTGTCTCATCTCTGTCGTTTTAGGGTCTTTGGCCAAATTGGGCGAGGGTACACAATAACCACTTACCCCTTCTCACCGAGGACGAACGGGAGAAAGGGTAAGTAAGGCTCCACGGGGGAGGAAGGAGCCCGGAGCTCCTCCCTTAGACGTGAAGGGACCACATTCTCTTATCAGGAGCCGGAGACTCAGCTGCACCGATCCCAGGCCCCTCCCCTCCCCCCCCCCCCCCCCCCCCCCCAGCTCCAGAGTGGACTTACCTGAAAGTTGGATGGCCTGAGCATCAATCCGGTGTAGTCACTGGACCCAGCAGGAAAATTCACTTCCCTTCACTTGCTTTAATGTGGAACATTATTGGTCCCGCGGTGGCCCCTCACAGGGCCCACATCGCCGTGCCCCCTGCAACAAGCACTCTGCATTGTTGAAAAGTTGCCACACAGCCCCTTGCCCTTGGGGGAAATCTGATGTTTTCAGTGTGGTGTCTTGGTTTGGTTCTTTGGGACCTTGGCATCATTTCTCCAATACATTGCTTTCCTGTTCCCTAGGCTGAAATGAAACAGTTCGGATCCCCGTGGCGTCTTCTTTTTTTTTTTTTTTGTCAGCCGTGGGGCTTGAACTCTGGGCCTGGGCGCTGTCCCTCAGCTCTTCAGCTCAAGGCGAGCGCTCTACCACTTGAGCTACAGCACCACTTCCGGGTTTTTGGTGGTTTATTGGAGGTAGGAGTCTCATGGTCTCTCCTGCCCGGGCTGGCTTTGAACCGCGATCCTCAGATCTCAGCCTCCTGAGTAGCTAGGATTACAGGCGTGAGCCACCAGCGTCCCCATGGCGTCTTCTATGTCACATATCAGTTAGAATTCAGATGAACTCCAGGAAAGAGTACAGTAAAGTATATTCCTGGATACTGACACAGGAAAAGTAGGATTTTCTTCTATGATCATTTTGGCATTGACCCACTGTGAATCCATCTTCTGTGTCAAGTGGTAGGTGTCCACATAATATTCTTTATGGGAACTGGCTATTACTGGTAGTGGGTTCACGATCAAATAGATATGATCCCTGCCTTACCATGTGTTGAACACTGATGGAAGCAGGATGGGAAGAATGATGTTGGGGATGATCATTTTGGGATGGTCCTTTCACCATTCACTTTCTGAATATTTGTAATTGTACAAGAATTTTCCTATATTACAGACCTTACACACAGTGTTGTAGGAGTTTCTTTTTAGTAAAGATGAACAGTCATGGTAATTTATTTCCCATAACAAATAGTGTTGCAGTCATTTTCAGTATAATATTTTGTTCAACAGGTGGATGAGAATAGCTTTTGAATTACAAGAAGGCATAATATAGCTGGGCACTAGTGACTCATGCCTGTAATCCTAGCAGAAACATCCGAGAGACTCTTATCTTCAATTAACCAGCAAAAAGCTAGAAGTGGAGTTGTGGCTCTAGTGGTAGAGCTCCAGCCTTGATTCTAAAAAACAAGCTAAAGGACCTGGCTGAGTTCAAGTTCCTATATTGGTGTGCATACACATACTTACAAGGCCTAATAAAAGAAAACATGGATGAGTTAGGAAAGTACACTTAGGAGAATAAATACTAAAGTAGACTCTTAACTTAGGTGGGTTTGAATACACTTAACATTTCTTTCTTGAAATGAGAAAAGTTCCTTTTTTTGGCCCAACTGGTATAATTTGTGCCCTGAAAAGTTATTTTTTCCCCCCCTGATAACAGGAGTTATATAAAATCAGAACAAAGTTAGAATTTATTCTCAAAGGAATAGGAAAGGTCAATAGAACATGAGTCTCCTATGATCCCATTTTCAGATAATTTGGTATTTATGTTTTTCAACTTTTGGTCCATATTTACACATGCGGGATATATATGTGTAAATGTACATATATGGGATATATATGTATGAAATATATGGTAAGGATATATGTACAACTTATATATGGACAGCTTATATTACAGGGTATATGTACAGCTTAGCTATATATATATATTTGTGTGTGTGAAACAATGTATGAGATATATATGTATGTATATCATATGTATATATAATATACATATACATATATATGTATAGAAGCGAAGGCCTGAAGTTTAAGCACCAGAACTGCCACAAAATAAATAATAAAAAAATCCACGTACAACAACAACAACAAAAAGAAGCAGTATGACTTTTATAGTTCCCCACACACACCTGTCCTGGGGCTGTAAATCAAGGCCTGGGTGCTGTCCCTGAGATTTTTTTGCTCAAGACTAGCACTCTACCACTTGAACCACAGCTTCATTTCTGCCTTTTTTGATGGTTAATTGCAGATAAAAGTTTCATGGACTTTCCTGCCTCGGATGGCCTTGAACTATAATTCTCAGATCTCAGCCTCCTGAGTAGCTAGGATTACAGGCCTTGGCCCACTGGTGCCCAGCCATTCTTTCTTTTCTTTCCATCCTCCCATCCTCCCTCCTTCCCTTCCTTTTCTGTTTCCCTTCCTCTCTTATCTCTCCTCCCTTACTTTCTTCCCTTTCCTCCCCCCCCCCACCTTTTTTATGTGGTTGTGGTGCTAGGGATCAAATCCAAAGTTGTGCAAAAGCTATATAAGGTCTCTACCACTATTCCCATCCCCTGTAGTCATCTACATATGGACTTGAACCTTGGCTCTTATTTATTGAAAACTTAGGACCTATTACAGTTTATTTGCTCTTTGATTTATCATCTGCCTAAACAGAAAAATAAGTGTATAAAAAAGAATATGCAAAAAAGAATGCCTGGCCCCTTCATTTCCCTCTTTGTTTATCAGTCCATCACTGTGATCTTCCTTTGGATAGTGGAAAGCAACCTAGTATCTTTCTTTCCCATAGGAGAGAAGCCTCCTGTATTTTCCCAGTAGATAGCCTACTGTATCTCATCCTAAAATTTCTGGGGAAAAGACTGACACCTGATGTGGCTTGATTTCTCCCTATTGGATCATTCTACAGTCTTGTCTAAAAAGTGTCAGGTGAAAATGAAAGGAAATGTCTCTATCATGTGTTAAGCTCTGACATTGTTCCCAATGTGAGAAAGACATACTACTGCATTTAGCTGAGTGCTTAAAGTTAGATTTTCTATTTCAGAAGTGTCTTTGGCTTATAAGCATTACAATAAAAATGCTGATGCTTCATGTCCAAACTGTCATGATTTTGCCAAGTTATGGGTTTAATATACAGCTAAGCTGTGTATTTAGTGTATCTAATACTGCTCTGGAAGCTGAGAAAGACAAGTCCACAGACATCTGATTTCACACCAGACATCTGGTTTCACTTTGCTAAGGAGTACGTTTTGTCAGTAGATTATAGGCTTATCAGCTGTGCTGCTGTAGTTTGTGGCATTTCTATTATAAGCTCTGGTCTGTAGGGCTTAGCATGATGTTTTATTCAAATGACAGCACACTGAAAATGAACACCTGGTCAGATAAGCACGTTTCCCACAGGTGTCTTCTAGTGTCATTGTTTTGTACAAGTTAACAAGGGGGAAATAGTGTCTGTCCTTGGAGGCTTTTACATTGGGCTTTGGTCAAAAGAAAAGTATTCTTTAAAGAAATACCTCATTACAAACTTTTATATTCCAAAAATTCAGTCTTTTTTGTAGTGTTAACAGTAAACTTATAGAAATAAAATAACAAATAGCATTTAGATTGTAGGTCAGAGCACCAACAATGTTTAAACGCATCATGTACCTATTTTGTCAGTGATGGGTATATTATAAATGACATGTATAATAGAGTTTCAGAGAAAAAATGTCTCTGATTTCTAAATTATCATGGTTAGACTACATTTTAGCCATTTTGAAGAGGTAAGAGGCATAGAAAACTCTGAAGACTGTCATCTGGGTTTGTGAGTGATCTCTGTCATTGTTTAACTGTGTGACCTTGGGCATCCACTCATCATGTGTAAGATGTGAACATTACTCCTAGTTACTGCCGGATTCAGTAATGTAATGGAGCAAAGTATCTGCTACAAAATGGGTCTTTAGTAAATACTAGTTTCATTTTTCCTCTAGGCTCTAAACCTCACATCTTCAGTCTCTTAGTCTCTTAGACTAATTGCCTAGTCCAGATTTGTGGGTCAGATGGAGAGGAATTAGCCATGGGTTCTGAGGTTTGGTAGTAATGGTTGGGAAAGGGTTGTGCAAAATAATAACAAAGAAAGAAGTGGTAAACTGACAGTAGGAGCCAATCTTTTGTCCAGTCTATGGATGTCCATGTCTAGCTCTGAATTTCCCTTTCTCCCCTTCCTCCCTCCCTCCCTCCGTCCCTCCCTTCCACCCTTCCTTCCTTCCTTCCTTCCTTCCTCCCTCCCTCCCTCCCTCCCTCCCTTCCTTCCTTCCTTTCTGTGGGACTTGAACTCAGGGCCTTGCACTTCTGCTTGGCTTTTTTGTTCAAGGCTATTGCTCTACTATTGAAGCCACATCTCCACTTCCTGCATTTTTCTGGTTACTTTGAGGTTAGAGTCTTGGATTTATTTTCTTGAGCTGATTCTGAACTGTTTCAGATCTCAGCCTCTTCAATAGTTAGGATTGCAGCCATGATCCACCAATGTGTCCAGCTCAATGAATTTCCTCCTCTACCCAAATAAGCTATCTTTTACTTTGATTTCTCTGTCAATCTTTTGTCAACTGTTCCAGTGGAAACTTTTAGTTTCTTATATCCTGCATAGTCCAATGATAACTTTTTTGTTTGCATAATACCAAAATAACTATTAAATTTTTCATGGGCATCACTTAATGTAATTCCCCCCCCCCCCCCATAATATCTAATTTGATTTTGCAATATCTTAAGACTTAAGGTCTTTTTTCCTCTTTCTATGATACCTACTTGATTTTCTTGCCATTTTGTTGGTCTAAAGTTCATTCATTAACTTTCCCCTTACTTAAAAAAATCATATGCTGTATATATTGATATAATGTTGAGGATTTAAGGATTATATGACTGCCTTCCAACAAAGAGTTTATAGTACAGTAGGATTATCTGTACCTGTATACAGTTCAAGTATGTGTTGTGTGCTATACTGGAGGTGGGTACATGTGCAAAGGAAGCTTAGAACTCTGGATCTATGGTA